ATTTTCAGTAAAACATCAACCCTAACATTAAGCAGCACATTAAACTAATGTTGTCATTGTGCATTTTGTTAGGCGGGTAGCTTCGGTTGACTTTATTTACATTTGTGTTGGATTTTGCAGTGACATAAGCATATGGAATTTAGACCTTAATATGTTTGCACAAATTTAGATTACATTACAATTAACATATTTTAAGTCCAACAATAGGAGTCTATTGGAACTTATTTTTAAGAACCCAAAATCTGTATCTTATAACAATTTTCTGATGACTAGTAGGAAAGTACCTCGAGGAAGGGCAGCTTTTTCTAATTCACACAAATATGCCCTATGTGCTCATGGTGGTAAACCGGTTTTTACCACCTCTCCCTGCTGAACTGGGATGAAATGTAGATTCTACCAGGCACTGTGATTTTATTTGGCCTTTTCACAGCTCAGAGACCTCCCATTAAACCTGTTTCAAGCAGTTAGCACTCTTTCCATCTCCTCTTATTCTATTTCTCTAACTACCTTCTCTCTCTCTCCTAGATCCAGACCTACCAACACTGTCTTCTAAATCACAACAGATCACTTTTCCTGGTTAATCTCACTTTCCAAAATTAACACAGCTTCTGAGCTCTCCAATGCAGGGACATGCCAAGTCCCGTGATTCAAGAAGACAGGAAGGCTCCAGCCCAAAACTGTATTTATGGAGCTCTCTCTGCTCTACCTTATCTGTCTGGATCTGCTCCAGAGCCTCCTAAAAATCAATTCATGAAACTATTACCTTATATACTGCTCACCTAGGCGTTCAGCTCGCTCTGACTCACGGTTGGCTCCTGTTCCTTTTGCAGTCAGCCTTAACATTGATTTAGATGAGTCAGATTGCTGCTGCAGCAGGTACCACTTCATAAAACTTTAAAGCAGCACATGGTTTGACCCTCAAAATCATCCTAGCACTGTTGTATTAAAAAAATTTCATATGTAACCTAGAAAAACATTGTATAGAAAGGATAGAGAACTATGTCAAGAGAGAGACTACTTCTACCAAGAGGACGGAATGGGATGAACCAGGCAGGGTATTGCCTGTAACCCTGCATTACTTAATAATATTTCCAACCGTGATGGCAAAATGTCCACAGATATGAAATGATGTGGAGGATACAAAATAAATTGTGTTACCTTCTGTTGTTGAATGTGTGAAATACGCTACATTTAGTATTTAAATTTTTTAATGATGTACTTTGAAGATAGCATTCTAATTGTTCATCAGGAAGCTGTAGGATGTCCTTGGATGAATTCAATGTTCCCAAGTCCTGAGCTGACCATACCTGGTCTCCAAGGGAAAGTAATCATGAATGTAGGGAATCAAGGGAAAGTAATTATGAATGCAGCTCTTAGGGTGATTTCGCAGTTCAGGATGGTTCAAGGATGGTGCTGTAGTCCCCAGGCTGGCGTGGCATGTAAGTGAATCAATGGCTTGCTGATATGCACCATGCCCCTCCATCTAAGCATTTGTTTCCCCCACGACCCTACCTCCGTTCTTAAACTCTTCTCTGAGTAAGCTTGCTTCCCTTCAGGAAAAGAGGCGTGTTTTAATGATGTATCTATCCTGCCACCTAGCCTTCAGTGACATCACTGCAGCAAAGCTGCTTATGGCTCCTCTGCACAAGATCTCAGGCCTGCTGAACTTTCCTTGTTTAGGGAAGGCCCTGAGGGCTAGCTGCTCTTTCTTTTTTTGGTTTTTCTCCGGTACCGGGAACCGAACTCAGGACCTTGCGCTTGCCAGGCAGGCGCTTTTGCCGCTGAGCTAAATCCCCAGCCCCTTAGCTGCTCTTTCTTGAAGGTCATTATTCCTTACTTTGGGATCCAATGAGGCAGCAGCACTGGCACATGTGATGTGTACTGGTCTCTCGGAAAGGGACTGAAGTTGATGTCATGAGGTCTTGAAAATGGAATCAATGGTATAAACAAGCCTGTCTGAGAGAATGAAAACAAGCCCCTTACCTGGTGTTTTCCTTTCCAACCAGAAGAATCTGTGCCACTTTGTGTCCTATTAAAAAATTGAGCTTCTCTAACCTGTGTTACCAGCCTAATTACTTTAAATCATTACAAACTGCTCATCATCATCATTGCCTTAGAAACTCACAGAAAATGACCACACTAGTAGGCTTTATAAGATGTAAGCGTGCTACCCACCTTTTGAAAAGTCCAGAGAGAGAGTACAAATCTTTCACTTGGTGACATGTCTTGAAACTTAGTTTTACATAAGGCATTAAACTTTTAAGGGAAAGAGGAAGGGTAATCTCTGCGGAAACGGCACAAGTGGGTATTTAACTTCCTACTTTTCCACAAAAGATGGGCTTAAAAGGGGTCAAAGCTCATCTATGCCAGGGTAGCAATAAAAATAAGTCAGCAACAAAGGAGATCTCTGGAAAAGAAAACTGGGCTCTAACATTTGTGCCCGGCAGGAACAAATAAGCCCCCCTCCGGATGAAACTTTCCATGGAAGCTTTTATCCAAAATCAATTTTCTAAAGATGGTGGGGAAGAGACGTGCACCTTCAGAATGGAGGAGAGGAGAAAAGGAATCAAGAGGGGTGCACAGGCCTCCCTGACAATCCATGCTTCCATTGTCAGATATAAATTATAGACTCTCAGACTCAAAACTCACCCCACCAGCCCTCTATCTTTGAACAAAATCACTCTAAACAACCCCAGGATGCCAAGAATTCTTCTTTCTCTGTTGCCTTCTTGAGAAGCCTACCCCAGGGCCCTGGGACAGCAGCTCTAGGCCCTGAATTCCTCCAGGCCTAAGCCCAGGTGAAGGTAGAAGCAGAGATAAAGAATGCCTGCGTGACCTAGATAGGTTTTACTGCAGCGTGACCGCTCCCCTTGCCCCCAGTAACTCCTCCCACAAAGACCAACTCCCACCACATTCTCTTCTTCCCGTTTTCTACCCTCTTCATCTTCCCTATGAATCATCCCCTCTTCCTTTTACCTGTCCTCATACTTTACATTTTCCGAGCCCCTGGCAGTTGGCCAGACAACAAGAAGTATCACTGGAGACCATCTCCTGGAAATACGGGGTAACTGGAACTGGGCTGCTCCTGTCTCTTTGGAAGGAGCACCCGACTTTCATGATTCAGCTCGGATGCTCTTGGGGTGCTGGCAGTACGCTAAGCAGCTGAGGCAGTGCAGGGAAGACTCACACACCACGAGCTGTGGTGCTACTCTTCGAGTCTGAACTTGACGCAAAGGAGAAAATAACACATGATCTCCCTCTCTTCTAAAATATTCCAACCAAATTGTTGAATATTAATGTGTTCCTTGCTTTACCAAGCCTCCAGAAAGAGGGGAGAAGCAATTTTAATCATTACACACAGCTCCTGCTCCCTCCCCCAGTCAACACCTAAACCTCTTTGGCAATAGGAGCAAAAGCACAACTTTAAACTTTGGGCTTATTTTTAAATGTGCCTTTCGGCAAACAGATAAGTGAGAAGAGAGATCAGGATCTGGGGGTGCGAACAGCATCAAATGAAATGCTTCCAAATCGAACTAGCTAGAGAAATACTTTTTTGAAAGCAGTCCTACAGAAAGAATTATCATAGATAAGGGTGCAGTCTAGTGGCAAACTTTATGAAATGCAGCCCCTTCTCCAAAAGAAAGCTACAGCACTTCACAGAGGAGAAAAGGAAACATAACAGGCAACAGCCCTATCGCCAACACTCCCACAAGGGGCAGTGGCAATGGGCCATTTCTTTCTGACCTGCTGAAGCCGTCCATAACTCACCTATCATGTCAGTTTCAGACAGAAATGGACAAGTGCCACTCTCTTCTTTCAAAGCTTTCATTTTCTTTCATTTGACTAAAGAAAGGAGTCCATGTTGCCCCAGCAGCCTGTGTGAGGTTTCAGGTGGCCTGATAAGAATTCCTGATGAGAATCTGTTCAGAGCAGGTCATGCGGGCCTGTCATCTCAAATCCCTGAGACGTGCCTGCTTGCACCCATTAACCTCAGGACAAGATCTCCCCTGGTCTGGCAGCCATTCCCTCCAGAAGCAGCTCAGCCTGACAGCAAAAGCCCACTTAAAACGGAGTGGCACTCCAAGCTGCTCTTGCATCTGAAAACTCAACACAAGGACACCTTAGGGTACCAGGTATGGTGCCCAAACAGCATTTCTTCCAAAGTGTGGATCTCTTCAGCTGCTCCTGTCAGTGCTCATGGATAAATGTCCCTTCCTGCAAGTACACAAAGCACACCACGTACACACACACACACACACACACACACACACACACACACACACACACGAGAAAGAGAGAGGAGTGCTTCCCTGGCCAACAAAGTAGCCACTTCTTGACCATACGACAAAAGACAGTCACCCACCAGCAACAGAAATGCTTTTAATTAAATTCCTTTTCAGCAACTATTTATGGGCAAGGCAGTTTTTCTTCTCTTTTTCCTTTCTTTTTAATTCACTACCCCTCATTGGCTATGGTACACTGCCAGTCCCCCAAACAGACACACACACACACACACACACACACACACACACCCTCAGCCTTACATGGTAACTTAGGTATCAGCAGACTGTCCTTTTCAAAGCCTGGAGAGAGTTTCTTGGGCGCAGCATATATCCAGTTGGTTAATAAGAAAATGCCCCCCTCAGCCTGTGTCTCAGCTAGTTCGGGGCTAGAGGGAGGGGGAGGCCCAGGCAGTTGTGTTCACCCAGCTAGGAAGAACTCTCTTCTACTTGCCCCTCCACCTCCTCCTCGCGCTCGCGGCAGCCCCAACCTGTACCCCCAACCCCCTTTTCTACATTCCAGGAGGAGGAGGGCGCTGTTCTGAGAGCGATTGGGAGCCCCCGTGTGTCTAGAAGGCCTTTCCCCGCCCCCACCCCGTGTGAGTCTGTGCTGCAAAGCTCCTTGGCATCCTTGCCTGGGTTGGGTGTTGGAGAGCTCAAATTGCAGCTACAAACTGGCCTGCGGCCAGGGGCCGTCTATTTAAAAGCGCCTGCTCGACCGGAGCCCGCAGTCTCTTTGGAAACTTCTGCCGAGGGAAAAGAGCTAGGAAAGAGCTGCAAAGCCCTGTGGGCTTTTTCCTTCTTTTGCTCCTTTTGATTACTCCCTCCTCCGTTGCACCCTTCTCCGGACTTCACGCGAATTTCGAAGAGGCGGTGGCAGAGTGGGAGAAAAAGAGGTGTTAGGGTTTGGGGTGTGGGGGGCTTGTCTTTTTTTTTTTTTTTTTTTAGTTTCTCGATTTCAACATTTTCTCCAACCCTCTCGGCTGTAGTCAACGCCTCTTACCTGGTCCGCGGCAGTCGCACGCCGCTGGCAGCTGAGAGTTAGAAAGAAGCGGGTGTCTTAGATTTTAAGCAAAATTTTTGAAGACAAACCCATTTTTACCCACCCCACCCCCGCCACCCAGTTCTCCACAACCTCCGAGCTCATTATTTCGGTGGTTGCTTTGGGGTGAACAATTTTGTGGCTTCTTCCTCTTGCAGTTCTGACCACATCCCTTTGGGTGGGTTCTCCGGCCTCCGCTCACTCCGCGTGCACCTGGCGTGCCTCTTTTTTCCCCCAACCTGTTGCAAGTCTTTATCCTTGTGAAAGGGACTTGCTTGCAGGCACTTGAATCCTCCTCTCCCTACATTTTGCAAGTGTGTAGAGGAGGGCACCTGCTCTACCTGCCGGAGATTTAAAAGGGAAGAAAATCTCCAGGCGCCCTCTCGGCTCATTTCTTCCCGCACTCTCGCTCTCCTGCCCCGCCCCGAGGTAAAAGGAGACTCGGAGAAGATGGTGCTCACCACGGTCCTCCTGCTGCTTGCCGCCTATGCGGGGCCGGCCCAGGGCCTGGGCTCCTTAGTGCACTGCGAGCCCTGCGACGAGAAAGCTCTCTCTATGTGTCCCCCCAGCCCTCTGGGCTGCGAGCTGGTCAAGGAACCCGGCTGCGGCTGCTGCATGACTTGTGCTCTGGCCGAGGGGCAGACGTGCGGCGTCTACACTGAGCGCTGCGCCCTGGGGTTGCGCTGCCTCCCACGGCAGGGCGAGGAGAAGCCACTGCACGCCCTGCTGCACGGCCGCGGGGTTTGCCTCAACGAAAAGAACTACCGCGAGCAAGCCAAGATCGGTGAGCGCGCTCAGTGTGCCAGCTACACGGCGCACGGGCGGGGGACACGGGACGGGTTGGGCCCCCGCGCTTTGCGCAGCAAGTGGCTTGGAGCCTGGTGTATCCTGGGAGTAGTCGGGATGGGTCCTTGTACCTGGGACTTGGAGCCCTGGCTGATCCTGCGATCCTGGGCTGCTATCTAACCCAGACTATCCCAGCTTTCGCTCCATCTCCCGATGCCTGCCTCCACCGGACCCTCCCCCCACCAGAACACCGGCTCTGAGCTGCAATTTGGTCTTAAGGTCCAAACGCCCTGGTACCCGGTATCCACGCTGAAAGAGTGTATGTTGCATTATCAACTCCCTCCTCCCCCAACCCACCCTCATGCGCTTTTCTTGTTTCTGAACTTGAAAAATATCTCTTTTGTTAAAATATTGCTTTAATTAAGGCCTGCAGAGAGAGGCGTTATCCATCTTCTGGGTTAATTCCATCTTTGTCCCTCCCAATCCCCCAGCCGCCCCTCCCCGGGCCACAACCCCGGGACCTGTCCACCTCGCTATCCCTTGAGCGCGTACACACACTCACATACACACTCACACACAAACACACGCACTCACATACACACATTTTTGGTAGCCAACGCCTTTTGGGTGGGGGCCTTGAGGCCCCTCACGTGCACACTCGTTGCTTTTGACTGTATATGGTTGATTGTGATAGATCATAAATCATGTTAAACTGCAAAATGCCATTTCCCCCGCCTCAGGATGGAAAAGAACACAGTTCTTAAGGAGCGCTGGAGGTAGGGGTGAACAGGAAGAAAGGTTTCGGTGCTGTGTGCCGGATGGTTTCTCCCTGAATCTAATGCTTTTTTCTGTCCTCGATTCAAATTTTACCTAGGATGAATGGTAGACGTAGAGTCGGGAGGCAAAAGGGATGTAAGATATAGACATCTGCAACTTTCCGGCCAATGCTGATTGCCCCCATCCCTCCACGCGACCCCCACTCCGCTGCTCCCCACCTCGGCCCCCATCTCTCAAACCAGATCATGAGTGGGTGTGGCTCAAATGCAAGAGGGGCCTTGGAAACACAGAATGTAAAATTCAAGGGCGGAGACAGAAAAGCCACGCACCCGAGCCTCCTCCCACTTGCCCCGCCCCCAGCTGCCCCGCCCTCAAGCTCTGGGCTCCCGGAGTCTAGGGCTTAAATGATTGACAGAACTCCTTGTTCAATCAGAACAGTTCTGCCTGCTTATGCTGGTTTTCTTTTGGAAGTTCCCTGAAAAAAAAAAAAAAGTGTGTGTGCGCGCGCGCGTGTGTATGTGTGTGTGTGTGTGTGTGTGTGTGTGTATAGAATTTTTTTAAGTTTACAAACGATACGCAAAAGTCTGGGATACTGCTTCTCTCCTAAAGGTGTTAAAACTTAGCTAAATAATCTTTATTTGGTGTAGGTTCTTCCTGGAACAAGGCCCTTCCCCACCTAACACCCTCAATTGCTCACGAGCACCCCAATTTGAGTTTTCTTTAATGCAAACTGCGTACACGGTCGCGTAAGAGTTTCCGCGCTTGCGGATCTGCGGAAGAGCTTCCTCTGCCCCGCGAACAGCAGGTTTTGACCGTCGCAGGCGCCAGCCTTTCGGCCTTGCCCTAGGTAGTAGTTCAACGGGTTGCAGCCTGAAAAGAGCGCGGAGCGGAGAACTTGGCAAGCTTCGGGAGCCGCCGCGACCGATTGGCAGGGTTATTAAAATCTTGCATGTGGAAAGGTAGGGGTTTATTACCTGGCCTGGAAGCTAGAGCTCGGGTAACAATCCATTCATATCAAATATGTGCAAGTTATCGAGCAGCAGCCCCTGCCCCACTTTTATTTTCCCGATGGTGTGCTGTAGTAGTCGCTAAGGTCAGTGTGCGCGCAGCGTGCGCGGGCGCGCGCAAACGCTGGGACCGCAAAAGGAACGCGTGCTACTTCCCCATTCAACCTCCCCACGTGTGCACGCGCAGAAACACACACACACACACACACACGCACGCACGCACACACACACACACACACACACACACACACGACTTTTAGCCAATCGAAAGCAGCCTCTTCTCCGGCCCCGCCCCACCCTCAGCCTTGCTCAGCAACCCCACTCGGCCTAAGGCAGGTGCCTGGCGGGCTGCAGTTGCGGGTTGGCGGCGCTCCACCGCGGCCCAGGCTGACGCCTTCCTGCTGGCCAGACACAGAAAGTTTTTAAGAAGGAAATGGACAGCGAGGGAGGACAGTGGCCTTTTTCGGCCCTTTAGACAAAATTCCTGTGCCCCAACCCACCGCCCCACCACCCAAATCTGAGCAGGCCGAATGTGGATTCCCCCCTCTCTAGCGGTTGCAAGAGATATGTTTGCGTATGTGTATATAGCGTATTATATATTCATATATGATACACATATACCATATGTGTATTAACATATCGCATACTTACATACAACATACAATCAAAAGTGTAAATTATATATTTTTATATTGTGTATAATTTATAACCCCGTCCCCCCAAAAAAGTGTATTTTGGGAATCAGTGGTAGGGAATGCAGGAGCGAGGTGGCCGGCAGCCAGAGCTTCCAGGAGCGAGGAGCAGGGCGGAGGGGGGAGGCAGGGACTGCTGTTTTGCTGGCTGTTGCTGAGCAACGGGAGAGGGAGCCGAGGAGAGAGCCAGGGCTCAAGCACAACTGTCCTTGCATTTTATTCTGCCCTGTTCAGGGGCAGAGATAGATCTGGAAAGAGGAGGTGGTACTTGTGCGGCGGAGGCATGGGAGAGACAGAAGTTCCTCCTTGGGTCAGGTTCAGTAGTAGCGGTTAACTGAGCCACTGAGAGTCCGGGAAGGTCCAGGTTTTGCCGTGGGCGTTGCTGGGGCGCGGGCCCTGTAGCTTCCCGGGCTGGAGCCCATCGTACTTAGTGGAGCTTGAGAAGCCTGAGAGCAGGGGGCAGTCGGTTCTGTGTTTCAGTTCTGTCACTGAGAAATAAGAGGCAAAACGGGTCAGACAATATTCTTCTGGGAAAGAAAGAAGAAAAAACACGTTACCTAGATGAAAATGAATTCAGCCTTTGCTGCTTTGAGGGCGTGGCCTCCATCACCCTGGCTTCAACTCCAAGCCTGGTCCAAATGCCATGTTGAAGTCAAGTTCCAGAGTTAGGTTTATTGGCCATATTTATGTCTGGGTTGAACAAGATCATGGAAAACTGAAGGAGCCAGATTCCTTTCCCACCCGCACTCCCTCCCTTTGAAACAAGTCTTTGAGAGGCTGGCTGCGCCCAAGCCAACCAAAACGGCAGTTGGGAAGACAAGTGATGCTGCTTTGACTTGGCTTTTCTTACCTTTACCCCCATCTTTCCCCTCTTTCTGCTGTGTCAGCTCAGACTGGAAGAGCAAGCACAGCTGGCCCATTGAGAGCTCATGTTCTTTCCATTTCTCTTTTTTCCCTCTGTCTCTCCCTCCCTTCTCCCTCCCCCACTCCCTGCCCTACTCTGAGGCATCCCCTGAGGGCTTGAGTTTTAAATCTGAGCAGCTGTGAGTTAGTCCTGGGGCTTGAGCTGGCTTTGAGTAGGCAGGTGGGCCTGCAGCTGCAGAGGGAGGGCCAGGCTGACCCTGGAGCCAGAGGTCACGGAGAGGGTTAGAGCAAAGGGCATGGGAGCAGGGATCTCTGCAGAAGCCCTGGTCCCTTCTTGCAGTGAGGAGGAAGCCAGTAAAAAGGGGAGGCAAGATTTGTCAGAAGTTTTTACTTTGTACCTGAGTCACATGTGTGAAACTTTGAGATATTTAAGGTGTGTAAGATAAGTTTTGGAGAAGGAATCCCCTTCCCCAGAGCCCCTGAATCCACAGACAGAACTCCATCAACAAGACAGCACTGACAAGGCTGGGAACAGAGGGAAAAGACCAGAAAAGAGTTGCCATGAGAGATAAATAGGCAAGAGGGAGGGGTTTTATTTAGTTTTAGCTTTGCATTTTTACCACAGTTGGTCCAAAAGTTGCAATGCTCAGAGACCATTCTTAAATTCTAACCTGGAGTATTGCTTACTCAAAGCAATGAGATTATGTATTTGCAGAAATAAATAAGCAAATAAGCAAGGAAACCCATGTGGACTTCTCCTCCTTCCCCATAACACCCAGAGAACCCCTCTCTCCTTTCCATGATTTCTGTTGTGATAGCACTTCTTTCTTCTTCATTTTTTAAAATATAAATCCAGGGAAGTGACTAGAAATTTCTGTAAGAGTGGCCTTTCCTGCCTGGCCAATCAGCTTAGCCCTGTCCTAACATCTCTCCAGGAATTATCTGGATATTGGCCAAAGAATGTTACAGCTGGAAGGAGTGGATGAGGATGCTGAAGTCCAGGGTAGAAAGTCCCTTGCCTAAAATAAGGGGCAGGATGAGTGGCAGAGACAGAACTCAAGTTCAGCTCTTCCCCGGGAGTCCTAGGGCTCCTTCCACTATTCCTGGCTACTGCACTAGTCACTAGTCACCAGTCACCAGTCACTAGTCACTAGGACCCTTACCTGGCCTGATCAAACCAACAACAAGACCTTTGTTCAACACGGCCAAATGCTATCTGTCCTTGGTGAGGGTTGTAAAGTCAAAATAAGAGCCCCCATATTTCTCTATTTTTCTATTGTAGAGGCAGGAGAAGGAGTGATGTAACCCAAAACTAGAGAGTGCAGGACCATCTTAGTCTCACACTTACTTGTGTCCTTTTCTCTACACGGTCCCCCAGACAGAGCTGGCTTGGGAAGTGAGGCAAGGAGTGAGGGAGACATAGAGTCCAGCCAAGGAAAGACGAGTCTCCGTCTCGATTCTTTAGAACAGTGCATCCAACTGAAATATAACACCGGTTACATATGCAATTTTTAAGTGAGCAACTCACATTTTTAAAAAAGGTAAGAAGAAACAGGTAAAATTAATTAAAAATTAATTTAATTAATTAAAGGTAAGAAGAAACAGGTAAAATTAATTTTAAAAGTAATTAAATTAATTAAAATTAATTCAATATATTT